ACACTGATTCATTTTGTCAGAACATGGAATATTAAATCCAGTTTGCTGATTTAGTTTCCTGATAAATATTCAGGATTTTTAAGCAATAGAAAAAGCAAAATAAATAAATAAAAGAAAGAAAGAAACTTCCAGGTTTAATGAGTCTTCAGTTTGTCTTATATTCTGTGTTTGAATTATTTACTCAACTCAAAAGATTTTTGAAGGTAGTACATTTCTGAAAACAGGCTTTAAAAAAAACCTCAAAACAACCTGAACTTTATTGATACGACACAACGTTCCTCCGGGAATCGAACCCAAGACCACCTGCTAACCGCTGCACTATGGAACCACCGACTGTTAGTTACAGTTAGTCTTTTAACTACGCTTTAACGCTGGTATATTGATCAGAAGATGTTTCCACTTTGACGTGTCAAGGTCACGGAGGACACATTTGAGTGTTACCCCCATCATTAACAGATCCTGCCCCCCCCCCCCCCTCGCCCCCCCACACACCACCTCTAGCTTCAGTGAATCAGATTGCCCACATTGTCTCCCTGTAAGCAACGTTGCAGCACGAGACACGTATCATGGCGAGCTGATTGGTTGGTTCAGCCGTCGGGGACAGGCGGCGTCTCTCTCTATTAAAGACACTTCCTGTTGAGGACAGCCACGAGCAGCCGGCTCACACACGCTGGTCCCCGGGCTGAGGCGACGGGCTCAGATGAGGAGCCCCAGGCCCCGATGTTTGAGTCAGAGGTGACTGCGAGGGGCCTCGAGCGACGACCGCTGGAGCTCAGACTCCCGGTGGTTCATTAATGAGCCGAGACCACAAACACAGAGGCAAAAAAAAAAAAAAAAAAAAAGTTTGCCAAGATCAGACAAGACGTGGATCAAAACGAACCGCAGCTCAGTCAGACATGATCAGTCAAAGCCGCCGGTACTGAACCTTCTCTTCTTCTTCTCCTCCTTGCAGGAAGCTGTACGTTTGACGAGGGCTTCGCTCAGTGTGATTATCAGCAAGATCCACAGGACGACTTCGACTGGACGCACATCAACACCCAGGATGTCCCCTACGTCTCACCAGACCTGCCCCTCGGTACGCGCCGCTTTTTGAGCTCTCTTCTTTTGTCACACCCTCACTTCAGTCAAACTCAAAGCATTAATTAATACCTCAGATACTTTAACTTATCTTTATTTTTATTTATATTTGCAAGTGCTTTTGAGCCAACTCCGTGTTGATTTATTTTATCTTTATTTAATGTAGTAATTCCCACTGGCCGAGATAGCTGCCAATCAAACTCAAATTAAAATTCAACACAGCACCATGAAGATGTTTTTAGAGGTTGTTTGAAGTCGGCGGTAATTAATTGCAAGATAGTAGTTTATCCTCAGATCTGTTCAACTCGGGGACCGTTAAAAAGGCTGCTACGTAGTAGATCTTCATTAGGAATTAGGAGTTAACACAGGAAAAAGTTCCTCTTTCATGACGCTGTTTTTCTTTTTCTGCCTTTTGTCCCATTAATCATCTCACAACCTTCCACGTTTTATGACCATTTAGAGGTGACCACTGGACTAAGATGGAGATAATGACGCAATCAATTCTTAATTATGCACAGCAGTTAAGTCTGGCTCAACTTTTACCAGCGCAGCAGTAAAATGCTGGCTAGAAGTTCCTGATCGAGAACTGTGTTTCAGCAGCAACAAAGTCCAACAAAGATGTAGAGCTGTTACAGTTAGAGTTAAATATGTAGAGTGTGTAGTATATTATGGTGGTGTGTTCAGGTACATCTTGGACCAGGTTAATGAACCTGGTCCTAATCAATACAGCAGCCTCCAGGATCAATAGAAGAAAAATTAGCAGCAGATTTAGGCGTTTGAAAAACACAGAAACAACATGTTTGACTTATGCATCAAAACCAAAAATATTCTACCACAACCTTGTTGTAGAGGTTGATTCGATTACAACGCCACAAACCTGTGGCCACAGGTCCCTGTCGTGCCCACAGAGAGCACCGGGCCGGTCCTGTCTGGACTGGTCCTGTCGTAATGAACCACAGATTCAGACGTGTCCGTCACTCCAGGCTCGTCTCCAGGGTTTGTTTCATGTGAAACAAAAATGTGGGACCGAGGACCTTCAGCCTGGGTTTATAGCGACCCCTGCAGGAGAGAGAGAAAGGGCTGCTGCATAGCCTGCTTAACCACTGCAAACCCAAATAGTGGTGCTCCACCTTAGAGCAGTCATCAGTCTCGTACCCTCGACTCTCCTCTTTAATCCAGAGCAGTCATCAGTCTTTCACTCGTACCCTCGACTCTCCTCTTTAATCGCTGCATTTTTCCCTTCCTTGATGATGATGAAGGAGAAATTAAATCTTTCTGCCCAGGGGCTGGGGGTCTAATTAACAGAATATGAGGTCATTAATCAATAGGGGAGAATGGGGAAGGTTGCCCACTTTACAATGTTAAAAGCAAAATGTTTTAACAGTTTTAACACCAATGCAATGTTAAAAAAGCAGTTAGGACTCACGGAGTGGAAGCGTCTGGACGCCGGTGTTTGCTGCAGGGACGGAGCCACGGGAAGATTAAACAACCGCCGACAAGTTTTATGTCCTCATTTACTCTCCACTTTTATCCTCCCCGGTCCTCTTTCAGGCGACTTTTCCGTCAGC